GAGGAGAAGGAAGAGGAGAAGGAAGAGGAGAAGGAAGAGGAGAAGGACGAGGAGAAGGACGAGGAGAAGAGCTCTGATAAAATCAAACAACCCTCACCTGTGGCAGGTGGGGAAAAATTATATACATTGATTATTAAATAGTGGGAACACATTACAACATATATATATATATATTATATAATATATATATATATAACCACGCGCAGAGTTACATAATCGACACATATCCATACTGTACGTTGCTTTTTCTCAGCTGCGTCTCTCCTTGCCCTTTCTCCGTTTTGGGATCGCCGTTTGTGTCCCGGTTTCTCGGATCGCTAGGCGCAGTCCAAACAAGAGACCGTGAATCAACAAATCGATTGTTTTGTCCATAATGTCACTGAGTTTCCTTTGCTTTTGGTTGTGTTATTCTTTCTTCTCTTGTCACTTCCTTGCTAATTAATTCCCGCGATGAGGGTGGAAACAAAATTGTGGGACCTAATGTAAGCCACATTGTTGGTGCAAACACTGCGAGATACATATCACCTAAGTTATCTATGATGCTTTTCGCATTGACCCTAAAAACTACCAAACCAAATCTTTAGCAAGTGTAAAATACAAAGGTGCAGGTTGCAGTACCCTACTCCTCTATAGAATGCTTGTCAAGGATTTGCAAGGCATGTCAAGAAAGGCCACCAATGGCCACAACCACAACAACAAAAACAACAAAAAACGCATAAATTAACATATACCTAAATGCTGTCAAGGGTTCCTCAAAGTAGAATAGGTCGCTCTCTATGAGTCCAACACGCTTTTGTTGTGCATTTTAGAGAACTATGTGCGGAGGATACAGTACCCTCTATACCATCTACCAAGTTTGGATAGTTCGAAAGCGAAACGAGTCGACCATGTTAAGCATGGGGGGTCCACCAGGATCATCCCACCGAACGGGTGGTGCCATCGCTCCACGGTCACCATCGGTCACCATCGTCTGTTTCATACCCAAGTGTCCATAGCCCAAGGTTGCCGCACTTCACATCATAGTTGAAGCCTCGTTCGACGGACCGGGTCGAATGGCCGGAGGGCACCACTAGAGGAACAACGACGCACTGAGAAGGAGCGTTCTGACTGGTGGGGGAATGAGGGAAAGATCTCGAGATCTAGGGAGGTGCTGCATAGGGATGGCCACCCCAAATCACCCCCACCCTGAATCGGGATGGCATGCTCTAACCCTGAAATACGATGAGCTTTCGAGTCCTCGGATGCGGCATCGATGGATGGTTTGTCCCTCGTAGGATCGCCCGGGTAGCCATGCAGTCCATGGGGTTGCCATGCTGAAGAACATGGGGCCCTCTCAGATGACCTGAACTGGCTTATATCTCTTAATTGACTTGCCATGTCTTGTAGGGACGAACCGTCCCATTCCCGAGTCAAGCGGACACCAGCGGGGTTGGCAAATGCAGCTGACGCATGCTGATGTAAATTCCTCTCGTTCGATCTGCGTCTCCAAGTCACCAGGGGAGCGTTGAACCAAATTCTTCACCTGTGAGCGCCAAAGGCTGCGTGCTGACTGGATGCTGTGCTGCCACAAAAATGAAACACTTGGGTTCTCGACCAAATGCTGGCACCAGTGCTACCCAAAGGACAGCTACAAGAAACCGGAGATTTTCAAGTCAGCACTTGACTTGAGGCAGCCTGGGATCGACACTAGATGACACTGGCAGCGTGGGATCGACACTGGTTGTGTTCCGGATCCAAAGGACTCCCAAAGTAGATGGTGTAAAAATGTACGACTTCCATGTTCATCCATGTATACATGTAGACCTCACTTCAGATTCACTGCCCAACTTTGGCCTAAGGCATCCCTCAAAACGACCCTCCAAACGCCCCGAAGACGACCTCGGGGTTCTCGCGGCTGCCGATGCCCAAGCCGCAGTCGGCGAACTCCAAGCCGCTACCAGCCTCAGCGGATCATCCCGTGGGGTGGCTGAGAAGATCTCCCAAATCATCCCGTGTCATGGAATTGTGGGTGGAAGTGGGGACTCCTCCTAATTGCAGGGGTTGCTCTGCATTGCCTAAGAATGGAATTGCACCTGACGTGTTGGAGTCAAGATTGTTTTGTCAAGAACACGCGCCACACAGCAAACGGCGGTGGAATGCTATTCCAGTGGCTAGCAGGGAAATCATGGGAAATCCCTTGAAGCAATTCTGATCGTCAAAGCCTACCACACAAAACAATTGGTCAGTACAGTATGCAGTATGACTTGCTCACTTCTTGGATTGATCTTGGTCTGACAAGTTATTGCTCACCTTTTGCAAGCCATCGATGTAGGCATTTTTGGGATGCATTTGTCTTCCCGGAACCTGGGGTCGGCGAAAGAGAAACCACGCCGACACGTGGTTTAACGCTTTTCTGATTTCTCTGCAGTCAAGAAGCCCACTCCCTTACTGTCTTCGGCAGGTTTGGGAATGTAGCTAAGGAGGCTGCACACCAGGAAGAGTCCCTGGAGAGGCCTCGACTCAACTCCGCTCACAGTTACAGAAGTAGGTCCATGAAAAGATTCCAACTGAAAACATGTCTGGACCTCGCGCAGGGTCTGGATTGTTCTAGAACCTTGCGGTGGAAGCAACCACCGTTGCAGTGTTTATGGCCATCTCAAGTCAAATGATGAACCCATGAATTTCCGAACAGGAAGGCTGCCCTCTTACGAATAATTCGTTCATGTTAAGAGGGCCACCCATCCACAAGAAGGTTAAAGGATGTTCGGATGTTTTCGTGGCGGCCATGGGCGCTCGCAGCAGCACCGGGCTGGCACGGCACCCAAGAACCGGACGTGGTGCGTGTGCTGCTTTAAAGGATGGAGTGGCACGATCCGCTCGGCTTCCGCTCGGCTTGATGGCTTGATCAACCAGACGGATTCGATGTGGTTCCCACTGCCGTCCAAGAAAAACTTGATGTTGCTGGAGGTCTAGTACCTTCATACACCGTGGTATGTATTGGTGATCCATTTCCAACTCGTTGGCTGGGTAGTAATCTTTAACTTTGAACCAACCACAAAAAATACAATGCATATCATCACCTCAAAAGATTCAATTGATAACCACCAGATACCACCAGTAGGTATGACCGAGGACAATCTCTAGGGTTAGTCTGACACACATATATATATATATATTATAGACAAACAGTGGAACATATCATTATATCATATATTTGTAGAAAGCTCGAACACAACCCTTTTTGATACACCAAGTCTATCAAGTCTGCCATTACTGTTCTCTCTTCCAAATAACGCCTCGTACTCAGAATTATGAACCACATTAGCAGCAGCCTACCTGATTAACATACCACTCACACGCTTCCCCTAGTACTGCCCCTGAACAAATTATATATTCTGTGTAAAGGAAAAACTTTCATGAACTACTAAAGACGACCTCGTTTTGGCAGCTGACGTTCAGAGCAAGGCTGGCCCGCAATCAATCAAAAGGATGCGGGCCATAGGACTAGCTGGCCAGCTTTTTGACCAACATGCCCCCAAAGACAAAATAAATCCATGTTCCTGCACCACCCCACCCACCAAAGGGTGGTTATTGGATGGAACATGATGGGACATGGACATACGTAATCAAAGGATGTCAGGGGGCTAGCGGCTAGAAACCGCTTGGGTGGTGCTTCAGGCACAGTCTCATTCAGAATATCTTTCGGGTCTCCAGGCCGTTGGCCTTCCTCCTTCACCTGCCCAAGCCAGCCTGCTGGAGGAGCCTCATATGCGTCTCCTGGAGGCACAAAACCGACAAGCCCCAGGTGACTGGAGTGGTTGGTTGATGAACCTTGCTGGAAAACCAGGTCTTCCAGACGTTTCTCTTCAGTCTCCATATTCTGAGGATGCATGTACTATCCGTTTGCCTGTAAAGTCCTTGAGGTACAGCGGGACATCCTGGTCCTCCTCCACTTTAGCATGGGTGTCCAGGTTTTCTTGCATCCAGAGTCCCACGGACACTGTAGTATGGTCTCTTCTTACAGGGCAAGCCTGATGCAAAGTTGCTCCTGAAGAGTTGCTGCAGAATAGATGTCCAACTGTCCTTGCGAAAACCTGGTGAGTTGGCACATGTCTGCTTCGAAAGGCTGGAAGGCCATTCACTTTACCAAGTTTAGGCCAATTGACAAGGACAATGACATTCGGACATTGCTGCTATACTGTAGTGAGCATGGCCTGAACCTGATTGAGAAGGCAAACTGGGAAGTAGACATGTTGGAACGGCACCCCAATGCGGCTGATCGTATTGAGGCCACGCATGTCTGTGCCTGCGCGGTCCATGCAAGAGAACAAGCTCAGGATTTGCTTAGCAGCCGAATTGTCAACTGCTGCTGGCTGAGGATAGTCTCCCATGGTGCCAGAAGCAGTGGGAGGGGCCGGCCGAAGCTTATATGCCTGAACAACCTCTTGAAGGATGGAGCCATGACAGTGTGACAGATGTGGTAGCTCCATGTAGCCCCACCCATTCTCAGCAGAAGGACTGCAATTGAAGTCAGCCCTCCTTGAATCCTCATGATTCATCTGGAGCTTGAGTCTCAACCTGCCTAAACCCTTGCGCGGCACCTCCGCCAGTCGCTCCTTCCCCGCGCGGCCGCGTGGCATGGCGCCGGCCATGCCCCAGAGCTGCCCGCGCGGCACTGGTCCAAGTGGACCGGACGTGGGGTCTGGGCGATCCAACGGAGCTGCGGCACATCCACGAGGAGCCTGTCAGCCTCGAGGGCACCGCCCAAAGCGGGGAGGTCGGCTGATTGGGGCGACATCGAAACAGGTGGGAGCGAGCAGCGAGCGACTTGAGAGAGGAGGGAGTGAACGAAAGGTAGCAGGCAATCACAAGTAACCCTGGTAGAAGTCCATGACGGCGTGAACCGGCGCAGGGGGGATTTGATCCGGGGGGGGGCCCCCCCCCCCGACGAACAGAATCATCTCTTGCAGGACCAAATTCAATGCACAATCCCAACTCCAGATTGTAATACATTTGTGCTAAAGCAAGGAGAACTCGGGTAGCTCAAGCTACCTTTCGTGACATGGAAACAACGGAACACGAAGCCTATAAACATCCACATGATGAACTTGGATTGTGTGCGTAGCTATAAGTATATTACACTGCTACCACACCCCTGAATGATTACGTAGAACTAAATGCCGCCGAACACACTGATCAAACGAGTTTTGCACGCCAGGGGCCAATGTCAAACCTGTAAGATTTCTATGCCTCGAATTAGTTTCGGTGCGCACTGACCACCATCATCAGCTGTCAACCTGGTGTTTCAGCAGCCGTGTCATGTGCAAATGACTTGCGTTTCTCACACCAAGTTGACCAACATGCTTGGGCCCGCCCTACCTAGAATCCTCTGCAACTCGAACCATGTGTGCACATGTGTGCACAAAAACCCGGTGATGGCCAGCAGCTCCGGTGCGCTCTGCGAGGCGTGCAGCTCCCAGGTCTCCACTGCTGTGTGCTGTGTGGAGCGGATCCTGGGGGCCGCATCCAACAAAGCGACGTTGAGTGACCGACAAACGACTTGGTTGTGCAAATCTGGTTGGTGGCTTCAACTCATTTGAAACATATTCGTCAGTGGGGATCAATCATCCACAAGTTCAGTATAGGTTGACCAAGAAAAAGATCTCGAACCACCAACAAACTTGGAAGTGGTGGCCTTGTTAATGGTTTGTAGAGGACTTCATGGTCTTCCAGGTCAGGACATCTAATTCCATGAGTGGAGAAAGAGTCATGTAATTACGTGCAAGTCAGTAGCAACAGCAGAAATACCAAGGACCATGCGGAATACAATCTGTGAATATCTGTAGCATTCTCTAAAGTAGTTGTGTTATGTTGTGTTATTTTGTCATGTGTTGTTCTCCTCCATGCAGTGCTACAACAACAATACATACGCCTCACTCCTATGGCCACTTCACTACCACGACCACCTTCCATCTTATTGTTCACTTCCAACTTAAAAACATCCTCCTCAAAGCCATCCATGGCCCCTATCTTTAAACAATGCCTCACATTAGGCATCCAAGCTGCATCTCCAGCCTCTGCCGGCTCACCGCTGAGGGCACCGTCTTGGGCACCGACTTGGGTCGCTCCTCGTCCGCCGGCGGCCGCGGCGTCAACAGCGGTCGCTCCTCCGCATAGCCGCGGCCCAGGTGCTCCCCGCGGCGCTTCAGTCGGCCCAACCTCGGGACGGGCCGCCCGGACGGTGCCGGTGGGAGTGCCGCGGGATTGCTTTGGAATGAATTGAAACGAAGGGGGAAAGGGAGTGGATGAGGTGGTGGAAATGGTGGAGTTGAAATGGAAAAGGAAGGGATCTAAAGTATCTAAAGTGGCCAGCGCGGGGGGCACAAGGGGACACGGCGGAGAGTCGCCCAACCCTGCGGAGTGGCCTTGTGTCCATCACACCGCATGACAACAGGTTGGCCCCCCCACAAAGGGCTACAAGGAAAGTTCTCAAACTATATATGTATATATATAAAATACTTTTTTTCTACACACTGACTGTAAGTATAACTGTAAAACTGCTATATCACTTACACGACGATCGCACACATTGGAAGACAGTGCAGCACGCACTCTTTCGTCACTATAAGGAAACCTTGATGAACCTGGCTCTCTCAAAACAACTACGGGGTCTCAGCACGGTGTGGGTCCAGCACAGCACAAGAGGTGTGGACCTGTGCCCAAGCGGCTTCTTCAAGGCGCGGCTCTTCTCGGTACTACCCACCTGGCCACGGCGCCGCGGCGTCTCCGTTCCCGCAGGTGTGCACAGAAGACTACGTCCTACATAGTAGACTCCAAATTTCAACATCTGTTCACCTCCCAGGGCTGAACAATCCATGTCTGGGGGGGTTGTTCATCAATCAGGTCTACATTTTGGTGTGAGATCGGATGAGATTCCAGAGCTCTTTCCAGAATGCGACGCCGAACTCTCCATCGACCCCTCGACCAGCTTGGCAGTCGGCCTTTCTAAGTCAGGCGGTGATCGAAACGCCACTAAGTGTCCACAAAGGTGAAGAGAATCTGAATTTGCTCAACGAATCCAACGTGCCCAACGTCAAGCGCCCTCCTCTCAAGCGGGGGGTGTTCCGTGTTCCGTTCCTTGCCACTCATGTTCCCTCTCGGCCTTGTAAGGCCCTGGTGAGGCCAACTGCGCCGACTCGGCGCAGGCCGTCCGGACGGAGGGCAGCCCATGCACCTACCGAGGACGAAACCCAGAAGACCCAGAAGACGATCCGAGAGAAGACGATCCGAGGGATCTGAGTTCCAGTGACATGAGTTCCGAGTTCCCCAACTGATTCATGATGGAAGATGAAGAACCCCCCCTTTTTCGGACACGATATGAGATGTTCAGGCGGGGGCCGCAAGCCTCGACCAACGGGTGGAACCTCTTGGGCTTCACAGTCAGACGCCGCATGATGGGCGGGAGAAAAAGGGAGACCAAAGCAAACACCCTCCGACCGAACTGAAAAGGAAAACCGAAGAAAACAGTAGGATCGTCAAGTTAAGGAAAAGGCCTGGCTCAAAGACGGTATGGCTCAACAGCAGTACCTCCACCAGGAGACCTTGGTTGACCTACCGACGAAACTTGCGCATCAATCCAGATTGCTTCCCACAGCCCTTCATCGTATTGATGGGTACCGGGGAGTTGGTGAAATTCAGAAGGTGTATGGGATTGGTACCCATACCTACCAAAAACTGCACAACATCGTACGCAAAACACCTCTAGCTAAGTGAGACCGAATATCCGCGCAACCCCAAGTGGATGTAATGTCGAGACGATGGCCCCTGAATTACTTATTTAATTATGCGGCACCGGCGGGGACAAGGAATCAAGGTTGCCGCCTTTGTTCCAAACCTCCCTTAGCTTCTTGCGAAAGTGGTAGCACTGGGAGTAATCGAGATTAACCACGGTATCAACTACCAGAGTGACATGGCATAACTGCATAGGAACAAGACCCAATGGGTGATATGGCGGTTTGATTCCTAAGTCCTTTGCATACTGCTGCAGTGTTTTTTGTGTGGCATCTGAATTAATGAATTGTGGACGCAGAGGGAAACCTCCAGTATAAGTCCTACCCCAACCGACCTGGACCAGACTACTGGCAGCTGTCTTATGAAACTTCGGATACAGCTGTGTATGGCAAAAGCCTTGAAGATACTGAATGAGGATGCGGAGTGCATCCGCCTGTTCACGGAGTGATCGCAGTTTGGCCGGGAGTGCCAAAACTTCAGGTGCCTGAAAGTGATGGGGTCGAGCTCTGGATCTATTGGGCGGTTTAATCCAACACGGGAACTGAAGTCCGGTCTGTAGAATGAACGCAATGGCAAGTTCATGCCATGTGATGCCGGATCGCGTGACTGCGTCATGATCACTGTCTGGGTCTGGCCATCGCAGGGACAGGAAAAATTTTAAGACTAGTTTTGCATAGTCAGCCCCCCATAGGCATGCAGTGAATACGTGTGGATGTATATCAGGTTGAGAAATGACTACAGGATTTACCACCTGATGATGAGCACGGGCGAGATGAATTGTACCCCAATTCTGATCAGGGTCATCATCTTGATTTTGTGCATCCCTGGACTTTGCCTGCTCTTTACGTTGGACATGGGCTAAATTAAGATCAAGAAGGTATCGCAGCACCTTCCCTGTTTGGTAAATTTGTGACTGATTCCATGCCTCAATTCGGGCAAAAAGTTGGTGATTGTCGGGATGATCTGTTTTTCGGGCCTTGACGGCAGCAATGTCGGCAAAATCATTACCTACAATGTCAATTTCTGCCAGTCGGGTTGTGGCTTGAGATAGTCGGCGTGTGCAGTTGTATGTGGAACAAGAGGACTTGAGGCTTGCGTTATGTTGTGGATGGCATTGATGGCATACTGGGAATCTGTTGTAATTACAACTTGATGGGATACTGCGGCTTGATGACATTCTTGAATTATCCATGCAATGGCTGCTAAATCAGCCCGAGAAATTGTCTGGCGTCCCTGAACATGCTGAACCAAAACGGTACGATAAGGAAGAGAGTCACTGGCGGGGTCATATTGGACAACGGACCATGCTGCTCTCTGGAATTCTGTTAAAGTAGGAGTGTCGGCCGACCCATCTGTATAAAGGAAAATGCATTCGGCAGCCGTCTGGATGGTGGCGGGGCAGGCTGTCTGGCCACGTTGGGAAAGCAGGAATCTAAGACGATGAACAGATTCATGTTGGAGGAAGTGCAACATATATGGATTGGCTTGAAGGATCTGTGCGGCAGCTGGATGCAGCGCCCTGATGGGATCAAAATCTGGGCATTCTAGTTGTCGGTGAGCATGAGTGTCCATTTGGCCACAGTCGGGGCATTTGCCGTCAGTTGCACTAGACCACTGCGCCTGAACCGCCCCAACCTGGTAACCTCCAGTGATGTCCTTGGCGAGAATTTTAATTTCCGTTGAGGTAAGTCGACTCAGAACTCGTTGGAACAGACTAGCGTCAAAAGGCAGGTTGGTGACTCCTTTTCGGCGCTGAGTTTGCCGAAAGACGACTTCAGTCCACGCCCGACGTAACCATGTTCGGATATCGCGTGGAGTATCTAGCTTAATCGAGATTTGAATATTACCCGGACAGGACAAGAGACCATCTGGGGTTAGCTTCCAGTGGACTCGTTGGTTGACCTACCAACGATACTTGGTTGACCTACCTGTAAGGTCAAGCTACATGGTGGACCCGGGCTACATGTTTTGACTCATCCTATAATATATAGCACTCAAAGACTGAAAAACAAATAACGTGTGTCCATGTGTCTCATCAATCCCTCGGATCTGGTCTTATTGGCAACTTATTGGCCTCAGTCAATCCCTCGGTGATGACCCAAGGATGCCTAACCGAGAGTCTCTCGTCCCGGGAGTCCCCACCGAGTCGTTCAAGGAGAGCAGGGCTTCTCGCAAGGGATACCGCAACTGAGGCAACACCTCCAGGCCGTGCACGTCATCTCCTCCCGCGTCCGCGGGAACGTCATCCTCCATGGCGTTGTTCGCTGAGCCAAAAGGCGAACAGGTTGAACGACACAGGAAGCCAAAAGCCGGGCGCATGCATAGGGGCTCTAGCCGCAGCACCCAAGGGATGGTGCTAAGGATCCATACCTGGATCCATCTAACCATGTGTTTGACAAACATTTGTCTAGCAAAAAGAATCCTTTGGGCGATTAGATTGCATGTCGCTGCATGGCCGCTCAACCCAACAGAAGCAATCTGTCAGACTGGCTGGCATGCCGGCCCCCGGTAAGTAGTCACTACAACCAAAAGCAACCCATGGCCTGGCAAATGCCCAAAAAGGGAAAAAACACTGGTTGCAAAGTCGCAGATCCATCTTGGAAACATTTTTTGTCCTGATCCTGAGATGAGTTCGCTTCCTCTAGCTGCCATGACGGAGCTTATTACGAAAGAGCAGCCTGGGCCGCCTTCTGAGGGCCGAGTCAATCGGTCAATCGAGTGGTACCAGTTCAAATAATATCAAAAAAACACACAACATGTGTTGTTTATCCATGATATACAGTAACATTGCCGGTTTCCCACCATCTCTCCAAAACTCTTTGGGCTGTCCCCTGGATGACTGTGAATGACGCACAGTTATATTATACCATATTGTAATTTATGTATATAATATGCAATATCTCGATATATAAATATAATGTATATGACTGTACCGTAAGGCATGCGTGGTTCTGTGAGCGCCGTTCGAGAAACGCAACGGCGCCTGCATGCTTTGCGAGGCCTCAGTATCCTCGGACCGAGAGTGAAGCACCGGGCCCCCACCCAAGGCTTCACATGTGCATTGTGATGGATGGTGTTTCCATGTGCTTTCCAGCTTGCACCAAATGCAGCGATGCCCACCCAGGCGAGGCATGGCTTTGGCTTAGAAACTCCCGGGCAAAGCAAGCGCAGCAGGGTCTGGTGGCATTTATTGACACCAGTTTGCACCAAATGGGAAACGGGATGTCGCGGTTTCCAACGTTCGCTCGCCCGGACCCTGAACTGGCTTTCAATGGGAAAGGCGACACGACATCTGAATCTGCCTACACCATTCGAAGTAGAAAAAACCATCAACGACACCTAACGGTGTAAACACGTGAAAAGCACTGGACGGTGGAGGATCAGGGTGGAATCCACATGTTGGTCCTTCTCCATCAATGCGCAGCATCCAAAGAAACCAATTGAATCATGGAGGAGGGTGGTGGGTAGCACCTGGTTTTCTTTAGAATGGCCAGCTTCAACTTAATCAGGTGGGCAAATGAAATGGGTCACCCATATCGGGTGGGATGCCTATCAAAAAGAAAATTGATTCCTATCAATAAAAGATTACTTCCTATCAAAAAACATTAATTCGTATCAAAAAGAAAATTCCCTCTACTCCTTTGGTCCTGGCCTGCTGGTTCCCTGATCGCTTGGTCCTTTGCTCCCTTTGTCCTGGTCCCTTGGTCCCCTGGTCCCTTGTTCCCCCTGGTCCCTTGGTCCTCTGGTCCCTTGGTCCTGTGGTCCTCTGGTCCCTTGGTCGCCTGGTCCCTTGGTCCCTGGTCCCTTGGTCCTCTAGCTTTTGGTCCTCTGGTCCCTTGGTCTTCGGGTCCTTGGGTCTGCATGTTCGAGGCAAGACGCGTTCAAGGTGATTTGGAAATCTGGTCATACATCCTCTGAAGCACTGAAGCAGGTGCCATTCCAAGGTAGCAAACCTTTTGTCGACCACTTGAGGGTAAATTTAGAAGAAGAAGGAGCCATTCCAACGTTGCAGACCTTTGTTAGCCTTGCGAGGTAAAATTTAGAGGAAGAAGTTGTCATTCCAACGTAGCAAGCCTTTGTTTTGTGAGCGACCGCGCCTGCCACGAAATCTGCACCTGCCACTGGAGGTGCTGCGCCTGCAACGAAATCTGCAGTTCCAGTGCGCAAAGCGCCGCTCCTGCCACAAAACCTGCCACTGGAGGTGCTCAAAGTGCTGTGCTTGCCACGAAATCTGCACTTCCAGTGCGCCAAGTGCCGCTCCTGCCACGAAATCTGCTACTGAAGGCGCTCAAAGTGCTGCGCCTGCCACGAAATCTGCACATCCAGATTCACAGCGCGCAGCGCTGCCATGGCAGTTCGCAGTGGCAGGCGCAGCTCTTTGTGAAAGGATATTTTCTTTTTGATACTAATTAATTGTCTTTTTAACCTTTTGAATCCTTTTGATATTTTAAATATATATATATATATATTCTCTTTTTGATAGCCCGGCCATATCGGGTGCCGACTTGCGTTCGACGGACCCTACGTGACATCCCATTCGACCATCTGACCCTTCAAATCTCTCTCTTAATTGTGAGTCCCACCTCAAAACGCCCGGATCGCTGCCCCCCCCCCAGGATCGCTCTCCACCAAAGGCTCCATAATGATCAAGTTGGGCCTCTCTCCAGCATCTACCATGGTCATGCAGGTGTTGCCTCGCAGAAACCATGAACCCAGGGCCAGCCCTAGGTGTCCCCACACACAAAGGGACCGGACCCTATCTGTGCCCCGCCCCACGTCGGATGTCACCCCCACAGATCCCTACGAGGTGGGCGGTGAGCCTTGCCTGGGCCTAGAACAGATCGAGTGCGTTTCACATCCGAGCACTGGACCTAAAAAACATCCACTAAGTCTGCGTATGGTAGTCTATTGGAGGCCCCGTATACATCCAGGCCTAGACCCTTGTTAGGCACTCGTTTCGGCCCATTTCAGCAGAAACCTCCACCCGTGTTCACCACGAACCTCTAAGCTGCAAACTCGAGGGTCAAAAACACAAAGGCACAATCAATCCCATGCATTCTTACATGCAAAAGGACAACAAACGCTAGCCGCAAGTGCCCGGTTGAAAGCATTTGAATTCTAAATTCATGTCACTCACTGCCCCCCAAAGGCTACAATAGTTCCTTGAAGGTGGTAACAGGTAGGAACACCTAAGTAACAGGCAAGAGCGCCTAAGTAGTGTTATGAACGCTTAAGTGAGTGGAAGAATGCCTGCGCAAAAACACTGCCCGTAAAACACTGCAACATAGATAACTAAAACATGCACCGGTAGTATCCAATGAATTCCTCGTAAAACCATTTGCTTCAAGCCCGCAGGGTGCTCATCATCACGAGGGGAGGACTCCTGAGGAACCTGCGCAGCGGGGTAGAATACTCTTGCTCCCTGAAGAAGCTCTACAGCTCTACAGGAAGCGGATGGCGCGAGGCGTTTCTACCCATACACTCCCTGAAATGGTGACGTGGATGGCCCAGAGTTCGGATGCAAAGCAATCAGCATCATTTTCTGCCCAAGAAACTGTTCTATTCTAGGAATCTGGATCCTTCCAAATGTGATCCTGGAAAAAGAAATCCTAGACCCTATAGCCACCTCAAACAAAGTAATACACATACAATACACATACAAATAGACACACTACGTTATACTACATCATTTTACCGTGAAATTTCGACCCCAGTGTAGATCCCCTGCTCTCAAGAACGCAGCTGGGCATGCCGCACTGCTATCGCATTCAACGACATTCACCTGGCGCATGAACAAGCGCTTCCATGAGAAGCATTCCACAACATGGGTGTGCATTAAAGGCGACTCCCCTGGAAGAAGGAACATGGAACAGTCTACCCATAGGCTGGGTGTCTCCGAGTGTCCCCTTTTAAATAAACACCCAAGAGTCCCAAGAGTTCCGCACAACTTCCGAGTCCGGTCCCTTCCAAACTGGTTCATTGAAGGGGTGCCCCGGGCACCGCTGTTCAGCTGTTCGAGCTGCTTTCGGTGTGCGGGAGAACGATGGGTTTCTTCAGTGCGTCAGTGCGCGAGCTCATCAAGACTGGATTCCTGGCTGGCGCTGGAATGTGTTGGCAAACGGCAATGCTGCAACTACTTGGAGACACTGTACCAGTATCTCGGGGTTGCTCACGTGCAAGGAGAGCACACACCCGAAAGCCACCCTGTCATGCTCAGGCTGAAAAAGGGTTTATAAGCCTGATATAAGCCTGATTTGGCTCAGGGTCAATGCAAGTGTTTGGGGTGTGCTCCCGCCCAGGCCAGGCCTTTGAGTTTACTTCCAAGAGCTTCTTGAGGCCCAACCGACTATCGCGGTCATCATCCACGACCTTCAGATTTGGAACGTGGCAAGACGGAAAGTTCCTTGTTTGTAGTGGAGAGAAAGATCACTGGCCACAATGGACCATGTTCAAATCACTCCCAAGTGCTCCCAAGCAGTCTTTTAGACTCAGCACGGAAGCCTGCACCAACATGATCTCTTTCGGTTCTCCCTCAGGATGGCCAGAGCCCAAAATGGAATGGTAGGATGGCAGTGTTTCAGGATTTGGGTGTACCAGGTGCTGGTCAAGACACCGAAGCCACTAGAAAATGAGGAACACACCCTAAAGACGTGGAACTTATCATTTTCTAGTGAATTGTTCTGGCTGGATACCCTACCTTTCCATTTCTGGCCAGAGTGCCCAAAATGGAATGGTAGGGTATGGTCGTGTTTGAGGATTTGGGTGTACCAGGTGCTGGCCGAGACACCAAGGCCACTAGAAAATGAGGAACACACCCTAAAGACCTGGAACCCATCATTTTCTAGTGAGTTGGTCTGGCTGGATACCCTACCTGTCCATTTCTGGCCAGAGTGCCAAAAATGGAATGGTAGCGTATGAGGGTACTAGAAAATGAGGAACACACTGTAAAGGCCTAGGATCCATCATTTTCTAGTGAATTGTTCTGGCTGGATACCCTACCTTTCGATTTCAGGCCAGAGTGCCCAAAATGGAATGGTAGGGTTGAGGATTTGGGTGTACCAGGTGCTGGTCGAGACACCAAAGCCACTAGAAAATTGGGAAAACACCCTAAAGACGTGGAACTCATCATTTTCTAGTGAATTGGTCTGGCTGGATACCCTACCTTTCGGTTTCTGGCCAGAGTGCCAGAAATGGAATGGTAGGGTATGGCCCTCGGTATATGGCAGTGTTTGAGGATTTGTTTGGGTGTAGTGGGAGACGTTGGGACATCCAACAACACACACTGAGATTGACACAACAAAGTTCTTTAGCCAGTTCCTTGCAGAAGTTGCCGCAATCCTGAAGAGGATGAACAGGCAAGGAGCAATGCG